GTTATTCATTCAACAAACATCTTGGCTTTTTCTTGGCACAAAGGTGTGAGAGATTCAAGATTATTTTTTGCCCTCAAGCAAATGCACATGTAAAAGCAACATTTTGAGTTGCAGTATCACCTAATATTATTTTCGACTGCTTTAATGACAGTACCAAACCTGACAGTTTGAGTACAGTATGCAGAAATGAGAATGTGGTTAGCCTAGTGCAATTGAAAGAACAGAAACCTCGGAATAGAAACCCAAATGATCAGGGTAATGCAACCAGTAAGGGAACAAGGAATTTTGAGTGCCTCTAGTCACGATTCACTGGGAAAGACACATCTCCTCTCTGTGATTTTCTTGCCGAAAGTGCATAGATTGAATTGAGTAATGAAAAAAGGATGACAAATTAAGGGGCATTCTACAAAATATAACTAGCCTGTGATATTCTTTTCAAATTGTCACAGTCAAGAAAATCTCAGAATGATAAAGGGAAGGTCCCAGATTAGTTGCTAAGAACATCTAAATGTGATATTGTTCCTAGACCAAAAAAGGGGGGAAAAAAGAATCCAATCTATTAATCATCGATCGATAAAAGGATATTTGCCATAATTTGAATAACTAAATCATAATATTGCTATTAATATAGATTTGTTGATTTTTATACTTGTGCTGTGTATATGTAAGTGGTTACCCATTGTGGGGTTTGGAACAAGGGCATGTGGGATTTGAGGGATCAGTTTTTGCCCATTCACAGCTTCCTGCTGTGTGTCTTCGGACAAATCGCTTCACCTCTCTGAGCCCCAGTGGTCTCACCTGTTAAAGAGAGGCATTAAAAGAGAGTGGGACCCTGAAAATGCAAGTTATAATAATAATAAATCCAGACAGATGGAAACCCTTATAAAAATAACATGAAATTAGGGCAAATTATTTAATAATCTCTCCGCAGGTTATTTTTTAATCCTTAAACACACACAAGCTAAAAGAGGCTTCTGAAGTCAAGCAGGGTGTTATCATTACAACCTGTTACCCAGTGGTGCAGTGAAGATTTAAACCCAAGATTTGAACTCAGTGTGATTCCAAGTGCTGTGTGTGTATATGCTGCGATGATGGTAACAGGACAATGTGAAAGGGGAGAGAACAACTCTGCAATCAAACAGGAAATGTGGTCACAGCAGATACAATCTTAAGAACATAACCACAAGGCTTCTAAAAAAAATAGAAAACTGTCAGCCACAGATCTATCCCACCAGGAATCGGCCCACAGTGGCTGAATTCTCTCCTCGTCATCAGTAATTCTTGTTACCATCCAAAGAACTGAGGAAGCAGTCCCCACATCTCCCTCTGGAAGTAAGCATAAACAAGGGGGGCCACACAGGTGTTATGCCAGGGGACGCCAAGTGTGCACAGAGCTACAGCTGTCAGCCCCCATCACCTCGAGACAGCTTACTTGCCATCTGTTCTGGCAAAGCCCAGGGCTCTGGAATGGACAATGGCTGGAAATTCACAAGGACCATCTTCCCTACCGTAGACCTCTGAGGCCCTGCAAGGTCTACAGTGTTCCTCGACAAGCGGTGAGTAGCTACACTCAAGGGCCTCAACCATCTCACAGCCACAAGTCATTTTTAAGGCCCTTAATCCAGAAGGTTAAGTTACACCCCACTAGTCACCATCTGGCTGGGGGATCTCCCCTGTGGGTGGTGTCTCTGGGTACTTCTTGAATTACACCAGCTTGGATGTCAGTCCCTGATGACAGAGCCCCAGAGACTCTCTGCATCTCCCAGCTTGTTCCTCCTCCTGTCCATTCTTCACACAGGTTTCTCGTGCTTTAAAGGGAATTGGGAAGAGGGGGGTGCCAGGAAGTCTACATTGCTGGAGTACCTGTTGTGGCCAGTCCTTCTCTTAGGCATCTTCTTGCATTTAACTCATATCAGCCCCATCATCACCTATCAGAGGAATTACTGTATCCACCATGCAGACTAAGAAATAAAGATTGTGTCATTCATCAAAACCAAATAAGAAATGAAGTGCTCTTTCCACCAACATACTGGTCTCCACTCCAGTCATTTCCCTCAGCAAAATCTCCCCATGTTTCTTAGAGACTGAGTCCTGGAGGAAGAGTAATTGTTGATCCCCACACACTGGTGTTTCCACCTTCCTTGTGCCCTGGATACAGGGTCCCCCTCCCACCCTGGACTCCTTGGCTCCTGTCCAATCTGTTACTGGCTCTTGAGGTCTGGCTGGTAGCCAGCCACTCCAGATTGGTGCCCTAAGCCAACTTCTCTGGATGATAACTTCAGCTAGGGTTACAACTCCCCTGTATTATACCTGGTTCAAAGTCATCATGTCTGCACTTCCAGAAAGGTGGTTGAAGGATGGACATCTACAGAGCTCACTAGAAACCTCAATCCAAGAGCTTCTGATGGGGGCCGCTTTATGGATCCCCAAGAGTTCTCTGCCTTTTCACCCACTCTCATGCAATCCTCATGTCTCCCCTTGGTGAGCTGATCCAGACCAGGTCTGAGGCTATAGAGGCCAGGTATCACAGCCAGGGAGCCTCTCTGGGCCCATTCCTGGGTAGCAGCAGAGACAGGATCTCATCTGGGAGACCAGACACCTTACTTCAGGCTAACTGTCCCTGGGGCCCAATGCCAGTCTGTGCTGAGTTCCCTGACTCGGTGCACAGCTCTGCACCTCACTGGCCTGTACAAGTACTAACACGCCACTTTTGATTCAGCAGCTCCATGCCAGCAGATGTCCTAAAGGATGTGTGTGTGTGTGTGTGAACATGTGTATGTGGGTATCCAGATATGCAGGTACTCATGTGCCTAATGTCATTTAACATAATATCTAGTCCATGTCCCATCAAATTTCACCAGTAAAGAATGACTATGTGCCAACAATTCTAAACATGTTAGATGTAGATAAAAGCTCACCTCTCTATGCACATAATTGCCTTTATATACATCTTTCATGCATTTATATGAATCTTATCTATGTAAAGCCTCCCATGCATATATACTTACATATAAGTCATATGTAATGATTCCAGAGTGATTACATGCCAACAATTGTCCTAAAAAGTGTCCTCTTACTATAAATCTAATTTTTAAGAATATATAAAACCTTGCACATATATGAAAAGCCTGTTTAGTCATGAACAGTGATGTTAGCATCTATTCTAACTGCTATGTAGATAAGATTTCATATGTACATATAAATCTCATTATGCAAATCTTAATCATTAAGAGGCTATATTCTAACAACTGTTTTAATTAGTGCATATAACCTAGTTTTATACATTAATGTCATTTATATATTTAAATGCAGTCTATACATAAAAGGTCATATATTCATGTATACTCACATATATAAATGTGTAAATTTCACTTCATGATTTAAAAATCCCTAGAAGGCAGTCACAGTTGTTATCCCTGAAGACTCAGAAAGGTCAAAGACACTGGGTATATGGTTCAAGGTCTCAGCTGGGCTCCTGGCACCCTCTCCCCACAGACCTGTTCCCCCAAAATCTAGAGCTATCCCTGCCTTAAGTACATTTCTAGTTTTCCAGCTGCTCATGCCCCAAATCCCAGCCTCAGCCTTGCAATCGCTATTCAACCAACCCAAGCAGCAAATCTTGTTCTGTCTTCAAAATATACTCAAAATCGCATTCCTTGCTCCCTTATCTGTCCCATCCCAGATCCAGATCCAAGCCTTCATCAGGGCAGGTGGACAAAGACTCAAGTATCCTTCAGGTCTCTTTGTGCTGTGCTCAGCCAGCCTGCCCCTATTGTCACTGAGGGAGTCTGTAACAAGTCCTGATCTTAGGCCCTCCCTGGTGGCGCAGCGGGTTAAAGCCCAGCACTGAGAATCTAAAGCCGCTTCCGCATGAGTTCGATTCCCGCCTGCCCCGGAGGTGACCACAGGGCATAGCAGACCTCTCCTGACCCGCCCGCTGCTCCCCTCAGCAGTGTACTTCGTCAATCTGCCTGTTCTGCTCCCCACTCTGTCTCTGGTGAAGCCTCTCGCCACCCCTAAGCCTCTGGCCTGTACCCTAGTTCTGTATGCACAAATAAATAAATCTTAAAAAAAAAAAAAAAGGGCAAAGAGGCACGCACAACAAAGCTGATGACAATGATGATGCAAGAGCAATAGAAAGAAAAAGGAAAGGGAGGCCAGCATCGGGAAAATCTGGGCTTCCTCATGGCTTCCCCACCATTGAACGGGGACCAGATGGAAAACAAGCAACTCAAGCTGAGCGCCTTCTAGACCTCCAGGGTGTCAGCAATTATGTAGAGAGTCCTTTCTGGACTACACTGTGGACAGCTCAAGTCATGGCACGATGACTGACCTTTCTGACATTACTAGACCCCCAGTTCTTTACAACAGTCTGAGAAACCTGTGCCTTTGAGCATGGGTAGCAGTGGGAGTGGGGTGTGTGTGAGGGGCAGTGCCCAGCAAACCCCATCCCCAGAAAACCTGTGGTCATAAACCCCTGAAAGTCTTCCCTCTTTCCACAGCCCCTCTCTGGAGCCATGGCCCTCATCATCAATGTGCCTTTCAGCTAGTGTGGAGTGAAGCATGTGGAGGACTTTGCAAAATTCCATAGTGAGGGATAGTGCTGATTGCTACAGCAGCAGCCTGGGTTGAACAAGACTAAGCTCCACAGAGGTTTCTGGCAGTGAGTATGGAATTCTATGTAAGGCACATTCCATGAACACTAGGGAAGGAGGACATTGACCCCCTAAAAATAAACCCATGGTGCCCCTCCTATCTAGGGTCCTCTGGAATCAAGGAATCAGAGCCCATTAGCACAACTCTCTGAGTAACTTGTGTCTCAAGCCTCACATCCATGTTTGGAGACACCGATGAGCCCCAGATATCCATACACAACCCAGAAGCATCAGAACCAACAGCTCCCTGGAGAGCCCAGAAACGTCTCTGTTTGGCAACCACAGAACCTAGTTGTGAGCTTTATGTACAGGCTGTGAAAGGGGGGACAGAAGCAAATGCAGACGAAGTTTCAACCTTTTTATTCAAAGCAGCCTCTCACAATGTATAAATACTGCATATTAGCACACATGAAAAATACAACTTCTAAGGCACCCAGAAATGTGTTCACACACGTTACAGGACCATTCACAAAGAGAGTGTACGATTTGCTCTAGACAGTCAGCATTTGATAAGTCAGAAGATTATATCCCTCAGTACTGCACCCAGTCTCACAAATATTTACAGCGTGGTGAGAAAGGGTCAGCTGTACCTGCTTTATAATTCTATGGAGTACTCATACTTACAAAGACTCAGAACTAGTTAAAGACTCTCCCATGATAACCTGGCAAAATAAAACAAGTAGCCTAATTTGCAAAGGTCTCCTTGGATTTTGGTGTGTGCGCTACGTCCATGGTCAAATCCCAACACTCCTAGGTGGGCTGGGTACGTTTTTGGTAGCCTGCTTCATTATCAGAAGTTTGGTGATAAGCCTTACCAGTAGAATACCACTTGTTCAGCATCAGTGACTTTGCAACCAGTCCATGGATGAACGTGTCATCATGAATGAGAATGGAGCATCACCTGGTGTGGGAATGGAAAGGAAATTCTTCTCATGCCAAACAGTGACTGGATGGATCGATGTAGAACACAAAGCACGTGGAAATAGGGCAACTGCAGGATCTTGCTGCCCAGTGTAGATACATCTGAAGAACTTGCACTGAGGGTTTCTCTTCAGATGGAGCCATCTACACTGCTCAGAAAACCTGGAAGAATGCCAGATCTCCACATTTTATGATATGGATACAGGCTGAGACTACACAGCAGAAACACCCACCTCACCTGAGAAAGCAAGTTTCAGTCAGAGAAACTCATCTTTCGGAGCCTTGTCAAGGAGACAACAAATCTATCTGTATGGCCAGCCGGGAGGGTGGGGGCGGGGGAGGGGAGGCTGTGGAATCCAGCAGCTTCTCCGTGCCAGAGAGCATGCTTACACGCCCATCTCCAGATGTGCCACCACCTATGAAACTCGTGCTTTGTTGAAAATGGAATTCTTTGGTCCTTGGTTTTATGAAAGGCAATATATTTCACAATCCTATCAACATGGACGCCGGTGAATGACTTCAAGCTGAGACAGATGGCACAGGGACAAATCAAACACTAAATGGAAAACTTTACATACTCTGAACATCCTGGAGTCCTCTTTGTGAGGTCTACCTTCATGACCAGCCAACCAGGCAGGGTCTGGTCAACCCACAGGGATGCCAGAGCTGAAGCTGAACCCAGACTTATATTGTCTGTAAACAAATTTGAGGCATATCTCCAGGCTAATCGTAGGAACGCTGACTGTATGAACACCTCTTGCTAGAGATGAGCCAGGCAACATATTTGATCTTAGCCATCCTATAGCCCTGTTCTCAAGGTCATCTTTTAAACCTTGGGAAGGAGAGTCAGTTCATAACTATGGAAGCATGCCAAGTTTGAAAGGAATCATAACTGGGAAAAAATATGTAGCTCCAAATTCTAGTTGATTTGCTTCAGCAAATATGGTGGACATCTGTCCACAAGCTGATGTGTCCGTTCTGAGTCTCAGGTGCCCCGCTTGCTAAGCTCACACTGAGCAGGGCATCACACCCAAGGTTCATGGATCAGACACTCCGGACACAGGGGAATGCTGATGCCGCCACCAAAATCGCCTCCAGATTGTCTGTACAGTAAGACTCATGTGTAAACTTTGTTAACGTCTCTTAAGGACTGCTGACCTCAGCCAGACTGTTCCAGATCACCCACCAGGAACCCAAGAAGGTCACTGCCAAGATCAGAGCATGTGTTCAGAACAAAAGATGAACCAGCATCCTTCCCCGTGACCATACCTAAACTAAGCCACACGTGGCTAGGCAAACCTGTCCTTGGCCCACGCATATGGCCAAGGCCAGCCACCAAGGTGCCCGTCTGGCCCTTGCTGCCATCGGCGCAACCAAACCCTTCCGACTCGCCGTGACTGGTGGTTACATTTAGCCTATCAACGTGGCTCCCGTTGTTTGGAAGAAACAACCCGTATTACCCTTATTTTTTTGTTTGTTTGTTTGTTTGTTTGTATTATGCAACAAGCTTAAGGCTCTGCTCACAAAATCCATCAACTGCCACACAGTGAGAATGTATAGGAGGTCTTAACTACATATGTAGTTGTGAAGCCTGGGAAATTTACTGATCCTAATGGTAAGGCTTATTCACAGATTCAATACATTTTCAAATTATACTTCGAACTCAATTACTTTGAGAAAAAAATAAATTAACCTGCTCTTTCACAATGTAAGAGCATTAGATTCGAATGGGGAGGGGGGTGAGGGACAACATTGGCACCAAACCAGTATGCTATTTTCTGAAAGAACAAGTGATATTGATGGAAAAGATTGCCTAGAACGCATATCCTAACTTATCACAGAAATATAAAAGTTTATATTCTGAAAATATATACTGTATTAAAGTCTGTAAGCATTTCAACCAAAATTTGCAGAAATAACTAAGCAACACTTATCTACAACAAAAATATACATGCAAGACAACCCCCAAATGGTTTCCCTTAAATATCTACAAAGGCAAAGTGTAGATTTTTAAAGATTATACAAAACCATTTACAGAGAAGAAAATAAAATACTTAAGAAATCTCATTTAGAGTCTTAAATACTGTGTATATTAGTGAGTGTGTCTAAACTAATATATACAACAGATCTAAGTATCTGAATAGAAACACAGAAACACAGTAAGAGAAGCAATTCTGCATTTTAAATGTTCACTTAGGAAGATTCGAAGATGGTTCTATTTGTCTCTCTTTGTTACAAAAATTTCTACAGAAACTAGATTGGAAAATTTCATGAATGTGACTAAATTTCAAATTAAAAAAAAAAAAGTTTGCAAATTTTTTTAAACCAACAGTTAATAATGGGAAATGCAATTCAGTCTTCAGTCAAGGCTGTTTTTAAACGTGGATATTCAAAGATACAGCTGCATTGATCAAAGTCTATTGTGATGGTTATTTTTCCATCCTCACCCTCAACTTCATGTGGGAAAAACCTATTTTCATGCTTCAGAGAGAACATCTCCTAGTTTCCGCCATACCAAACAAGAATAGTATTTCAAATCAATTCTCTACAATCTTCTCACAGTTCCCCAATTTCATTCTTAGAGGATAATATTTGATAGTTTTTACCCACAAACATTATTCCAAAGCCAAAAGGGATGTGTGAGTACCTTGGCATTAGTCTGTGGCTTCCAAATGTTGAGGGGGGTCTGGCCACTGTAGTGATGCTCTGCAAACCATCCTGGAGTGGTTGCAGGAACAAGATGCCAGGGGCTGGAGCAGAGAGGAAAGAGACTTTCACGCATAGCTCACGAGTAGACACAGAGTAGACTGGCCACAAGTTTCCTTGACGAAAGAAGACACACAGCTGTTCTTTCAACCCCAAAAGTCATTCTGGTATGGGGTTGGCAAGACCAGCAACATCCCCCCACGGGCTTTCCCCAGCTCTGGCATGTGACAGACAAGGGTGGGTTGGGGGCAAAGCAGAGCAAGAGGAGGGGAAAGGGCACCCTATGGGGAACAGGAGGGCATTGAACTACGAGATAAAGAAGGAAGCCTGAGTCCTGTCTGGAGAAAGCTGTCAGGATAAACCCTGCCACCACCATGTTCTACCCCAAGTGGGTTTGGGATAAGTTACCTGGATTTCACCTACACATTATCAAAACAACCATCCAGAAAGCAAAGAAGGCAGTAGTTTGGTCTACCCTGTTTGCAGCAAACACATTTCGCCAACTTTTGAGCAATTTGTGGAACATCCTTCTTGGGGTGACTGTATGCTGACAATACAACACAGAAACAAACAAACAAAGGTGTCCTGTAAGCCACCTCCTGTCATACCCAGGACCTGCAAATTATCTGCAAGCGCCGCACCTCAGGCAGGGTTTCACGTTCCCGCCGTCATGCAGAGTTGGTTCCAAGACAGGATCTGATGTTATTCCTAAAGCTAAATAGAACCTTTGAGTTTCCTTTAGCAGGGAACAGAGACAGACACGGAGCAAGGGATTCTGAAGCATCACTTCCATCTCCAACAAGATAAAACCTGACCCCACTTCCTACAACTTCTATGCCTTACACAGAAGACAAACAAGGGGCTTTTCTGTGGCAGAATTAGCAATGGTGAAGAGATTATCTGCCACAACGTACAAGTAGGAAGTTTATCCAGGGGCTCTGGGATGCTTTCTCAAAGGAACAGACAAAACCCCAGGGGTGTGACCACAGGCTTTGGGTGTTCCCCTGCAGAAATGTTGATGTCGTAGACCTGCAGGCTCCACAGGACCCTGCACGGATGAGGGAAGGGTTCACAGGACATCCATTCTGTCTTGCTCTGGGTGTGTGCAAGACACGTGCCATCCCCTGCTGGCTCCCCATGGCCAAACAGCACAGCTGAAGGAGAAGGAAGAAGGCAAGGGGTTTCCTCTTCTCCCTGACCCTTGCAAAGTTATGGGGAAACTCAAAAACAAGGCTTTCCTGAGAGGGAACTAGGTTGTCCTGGGATCAAAAGTTAAGAGAAACTTCAGCTCCACTGTGCAAAGGACATGCAGTTCTAAGGAGGCACACAACCTGCTCAAAGCTCAGGCCCTAAAGCTTCTCCAGCTGTCTCTCCCAGAGGATACATGAGCTTTTAGGGGAGGAAAACGGACCAGGGGAGGGAGGCAGCTGTGGCAATGACTTCCCCTTCTTAGCCTTCCTCACCTCTCCAGCTGTGGCCAACTCTTAACGGCTCCACTTAACTCTGTCCAAGGGAGGGTCGAGGGAGGCAGATGGCAACGCAGGGATATAGATGAGGGACCTCTGCGAATGCACGTGAGAACCTAACTTTTCTGGGAAGTGACCACAACCCAGAGCATGCTCCTGTCATTTCTCTGCCCTAACCTCTCCTTTTTCTCCTCACCAAGGAAAACCAATCTCAACCCCTCCGTGATGCAAAGACTTTGGCCTGATGTTATCCATTCAGCCCTGGGGTCCCCAGGTAGCCCAGCAGCCCTAAAGCAGGAGCTATGAACCCCCATTATTGCTCCCTTATGTGTAGCTTCCAGGAGAATGCATCACCTGGGCTTGTGGATGCGAGAAGAATTCAGACCTACTGACAGCTCAGGGCAGCCTTCTCCAGACCTCAGTGCACAGGGACGAGAGGGACTCTGAAACCAAGGTCAGCATTTGCCCCAAAGAACAATGTCACACCCTAGGGCCCAGGTAGTCAGTCGGGGCAGGAACTATCCCTCACCTCCCACAACACCACACAGTGAGGGCCTGGGTTTGTCCCAGCACCGCTCAGCCTGGAGGTCACTTTGTCTCCTGAAAGGCAGCAGAGTGAAGAGAAAACTCTCCCAAGATTTCCCTTAAGCACAAGCCTAAAGAACAAATGTTGTTCCAGCTGACAACTGTTTTCCATGCAGAGGACCTGGTACAGAGGCTTTCCTTTTATTCGCACTAGTATTTCCATTTCCGTCTCTCTGCATCTTAGTTCTACCTGGTTCATTGCTAGAATGCACCAAACGGCAGGAACCTGGTTTGGGATTTGGTCCGGGGCAGTATGAAAATAATATCTGTGTCAGTGACAGATATCGTAATATATAAACAAAAATAAATAAATTAAATAAGTCTGATTAAAGAAAAAACATTTTCCTAGTAGTTCATGTTTTTTGCAAAACTAGCTTTACATATAGTACACATAAATTATCAGAATTTCCACTTACATTGTTTTAAAAATATATATTTAACAAAACATTCCTAAATGTACAATATCTGGGTTTGTAAATCACTCAATTAGGTTTTGAGACCAAGCCCTAAGAGTCACACAGGTCTGCATCAGAGAGGAGACTGGGGTTGCTCTGCATGATCATTTTGTTCATTGGTCTGGAAATTCCCTAAAATGCATTGTCCCCGTCACCAGATCTGCATGTAACCAGAGAGAGCCAAGTCTCCGAATCAGAGGCACTGTGTAGACACAGCCTGAGTCAGGAGGGCGAGGCACAGCTTGTCCCCGCCCGGGACCAGGATGGTGCATTTCAGCAAGTGGGGACAGGACAGCGATCCCTGGCAGAGGCCTGGGAAGACATAGCCCTCGGTAGCTCTGGAGCCAGTGGGGGTGGGGGCACAGGGGAGGCCAAGTATGCTGCGTTTCCCATCTGTGAGACAAAACCAAACCAATGAGGAACAAGCAAAGGACACGAGGAAATGGACACAACCCTAGGTTTTAAGAGACGCCTTGACAAACTCCTCGGCCGGGCACACTCTGCTCCGATTTCTGAAACACGGGGCAGAGCTGGAGTCAGATGCCCTTGAGCGCTGCGGCAAGTGGGCCGAGGCCCTCAGACTTCATAAATTTTGTCCTGCAGGTAGCTGAACAGGGAGTCCAGGCCTTTGGAGGAGCTCCAGAGCTGCTTCAGCATCAGGCATTCTTTCTCATTCACATCTTCCAGCACCGACTTCAGGAAGCTCCGCACCAGGCATTTCGACTCCTCTAACACCTGGGAGGAAAGCAGACCCTCGTAAGCAGTAAGCAGACCACCGGGGATGCCGCGCCACAAGACCCCACCTGGCCTCCGAGGCATCAAAAGCCAGAGGGAGCTGCCTCCTGCAGTCCACAACCTGCCAGCACCTGGCCCCGGGGGCCAGGAACAGACTCCAGCTGGGCCAACATGTTGCATCCTCTGTCCTGAGGTGGGTGGGTGGGGCCCCCGTGACTCCCACCACACAGCCTTGTCTTATACCCCAGGGCGAAGTATTGATTACTCTGGGTATCCTAAAAATGTCTGGGAAATCCTGCTGTTTAGTTTCAACCTGTGTTTCATTGGCATGGGGATCATGACACCAAACTCGAGGGTGGGTGGCTGAGATGTAAGAGGAAGAGATAATCTGATGGTTGTCAAAGGAGCCCTAAAAGCCCCACCCACCAAGTCCCTAGTTCAAGAAGCGTAGGAGAAATAATAGGAGTACTTACTGAACCCACGATCAATGACAATTGTGGCAATCATAGGAATGAGTCGTAAGAATAATAGCAATAGTCATGCTATCATGTCACAGAAGTAGGAACAGTAGCAATAGTAATGCAGGAGTAATAATGGAAGTGGCCACAATAACCATTGCACTAAGAATAATCGTGCTAATCACAGTAATAACACCGGCAATGCCACATTAACTCTACAGCCTCCATGTTCATTTTCTGCATTCTTCCATTTGCTCATCTGCAGATGGGCAAGATTTTTATTTCTACTTTATGGACGCTGGGCCAGAAGCTCAGTGACATCACATTGCAGGGCCAGTGGATGTGGCCTGCAAATCCTCCGCTGACTCTGACATGCTCATGGCTGCCTCTCCTGGCAGGGGCCCTGTAGGAAAGTAAGGCCTCTGATCATCTTTCCACCAGCCTTTTCTGGCCTCTGCGGACAGCCCCAAGCACTCAGAAACAGGAAAGGCAAGACAAGAGCTCATCGGCCACAGCAGGTCAGAGGGCTTATGACTTATTCCTAGCTTGGGCAGCACTGGCAGGGAGCACGGCTGGCAGAAGGCCAACTTCCTCTCGGCATGTCCTAACACCATCTGCCAGAGGCTGGGGGTAGATGAATTTCTCCAACAAATCACCCCAAAGGTCCTGGACTCATCGCTCCACAGCAGAGATCTCCCTGCAATATCTCCTCAGCAGGCACTATCACCTGAGATTGTCTATCACCCAATGAAGTCCTCAGTAGAGTCTCTAGGCCTGTCTCCTAACCTCCCTGTCAGTCCCTTAAATGTGAGAAGGAGCTTAACCTCCCCACTGGAGTTCTGCTTTGTGCCCTCACTCACGCTGCTTCCTCTGCTTAGTATTCTGATCAGCTCTCTTGAGCTAAGCAGATGGTCACCCACCATCCCCACTGGCCAAGGGCCACAAGATTCCCTGAGACGTGGGGTTTTCAGAGCTAAAACCAAGAGAGCTGGTGACCCAGATGTCATCAGGATGGTCAGGAACAGGATGAGCCACGTACTTGGCCCACAGTGAGTGCTCATCAACAATGCTGAGACCATCCCAAAGCCACCCTACCATCACCACCACCCCCTATCAACATTGTCAATATCATCTCCATTGCCATCCCCATCATCATCATCATCCTCATCATCGTCATCATCCCTCGCTACCATCAACCCCAAATCTTCATCATCACCATCATTATCTCTGTTACTAAGCTTCCAGGGAGCACAACTTACACAGCAGCTGATGAGGCAAATCAGGGTATGTCAGCTGGGGGAGGGTCTGCCGGGTGAAGGGGAGAAATAAGGGTGTATCTGGGGCCCCAAATCCTGCCCACCACCTCCCTAACGCTGAAGCACAGCAAGTCCCAGGTCTGAGTCTCCCAAAGCGACTTTCTCATCTCATCAGCGACCATGGGGCTCCGGGGCCTTTTCTCCACCTTCCAACAGGATATTTCCATACTGTGCTCAGAGTGATTTTATCAGATAAAATCGACATTTAATTAAAAACTGGCGCCTCTGAGAAGGTGTTCTATTTATCTATTTTCCAATGTGTCACCACAGTCAACCAATGATGGTTAAATGCACTGAGCACTTGGTGGCAGCAGATGAAATACAAGAGGGAGGGGGCCAGGGGTCCCTGCTCTCGAGCCAGGCTGGCGTAGCATCGGCCTTTGCTTCCAGTGTCTTTGCAATTTCTGGGTGTTTTCTGGACATGTGCATGTTTAGAACTGTGTTTTAAGGCAACTCTCTCTGGCCTCTATCTAAATCTCTCCTATGAGGTGATGGGGAATTCTAATCATGCTGACTGCCCCCCTCCGAAACGCAGCTCTCAACACCCAGAGGAGGTACTTGTTAAATCCCAGGGCTTGTGGCAAGTCAACGAGCTCCTCTCAGCCCGGCGGCCCTGTCTGCAAAGTGTGTCTACTGTGAGGGTGAGCATGCGAAGCGTAGCAACTCACCACGGCACTGCACGACGCCATCTCCTTGACACGCAGCATGACCTCCTGGCTGAATGTGGTTGGCCAAAAGACCTGGGACACGAGACCTCGGCTGCACGCCTCCTGTGCTGTGAGCTTCCGCCCGCAGAAGAGCATCTCATTGGCCTGGAAAAGCAAAGGCAGGCTGAGAGCGGGGTGCCTGCAGCTGTCCCAGTTCTCAGAGGTGGGACAATCATTTGTGTCCACAAGTATCTTTCTGAGACAAGTGTCAACAGTTCTCATCACAGGCTCCAAAGAAGTCAGGTACCCATCGTGGACAGTGACCCTATTGGGACTGGGTCTGCCCGATGTCCTGCCTCCATTCTTTGTCCCCCGACACCTGGCAAAGGACCCACAGGAGTGGGTACATACCTCAGTTTGGGTGCATTTCAGTGCTGAGAGCTATGACAGAATGATGGGGAACTGTGGATGAGGATTAACTAGGATGCCGCAGCTCTCGGAGGTTTCCATCTGGACTGGGGTAATGGGGATGGGATCTTCCTCCTTCTCCAGTGACAGGTGACAGTCAGCAAGCCCTGGGCCACCCCTTCTGGAGCCCTGCTCTGTGGTCAGGCAGGTGCATGGAGGAAGGAGGAATGACAGCCCAGGCGAGTGAGGCCTTGGTCCTCACAGAGGTCCACTCCAGGACCTGCCAGTTATGGGAACCATTAAGTTCCTTATCAGCCAGTTACACTGGCAACTAAAGAGACCCCAGCAAGAAACAGCATGATCCAACATGGAGAGTCCTGTGTCTCCTGGAAGCCCAGTCAAGAAGGTAGAAAGCACAGGCTTTCCTTGGTTTCCTCAGCACCCCACTCCCCAAAGAGTTTCCTTTTGCTCTCAAGTTGGCAGCTATCACACATGACCTGGGGTGGGTTACATGGATAAAGTCCTAAGCACAGTGGGGGCTCAGAGACCCACCAGATTGTACTAGCAAGGGACCATCACGCTGGTGATTAGGGTTGATTAGTCACACTGTGAGACAGGCCCCGTGTCCTTCGGGAGGGGTCTCACCTCCTTCGCTGACACACACACCCCTCCCTGACCTGCCATCCCTCTGGCTTCCCTGCACTTCCTCTCCTGTCCCTCGTGCTCAGTCATGCTTGGATCTGGGTGCGTTCCTCCCCGCTCTGTCCTGCTTGTCACGCCTGGGCCACGATGACCGAGTGCATAGGCTTTCATGCCGGTGTGGAGAGATTGATTAGGTCATGCATACCACATTTGGTGAGCGATCTGAAGATAAATAGCTGTCATTAGACTTATTTAGAAACACCTCTGTCTCAGGAAGGGGAAACAGAAGAAAGGAACTTGGTAAAGGGAGCTGAACGCAAGGCCCCTGGCAAGCATCTGTCTCAATCAGCAGCATTCTTGGAGTCTCAGGAATGGGTGACATTAAAGAGAATGGAAGTGATAAGACCAAAACAACTTTGCATCTTGTAACCACAATGGATAGGTAGGAACCGGCGTGAACCACAGCTGAGGTCAAGAGGACTATGCCTGCCTCCTGGCCCTGCCGTTCTCTGCCACCAGAGACACTGGAGCCTACCGCACCCAGAATCCAAATGCCTTATCTGTGCTGCCTGCCTGCCCTGCTGTGCAGACCGGGCAATGTATGGGTTTGGGCTGATGGTGATCTCCGATAGTCTCTGGCTGCCCTTTAAGGCAATCATCAAGGAGTGACCCGCCCATGAGGCTAGCGTGGGAGCGCCCATCCTTGCAGGTCCGCTGGGCCTGCCAGGGGCCTCCCCCACCCCCAGCCTCCTGGCCATATCAAAGAACAGCAGTGTGGCTGAATGTGCAGTTCTTTACCCCTCCCTGCCCCGGGGAGGACAGCAAAGAGTCATGGGACCCAGGCTGCTGAGAAAAACCCAGACTACAGGGTCAGACAACCTGCACTGCCTTCTGCTTTGCATGTTACCCTACAAATCTCTTTGCCTCTCTAAGCCTCAGGTTATTCAGGCAAGTGTGAGGATTCAAAGAGATGAAAGGAGTGAGAAGACACCACAGAGACCAGGACCTTCATGGACGGAGCCCGTATGCTACTATCTCTATTTCCAGGCCAGATCTCGCCTGGGCTTGCTGAGGCACTCCCTGATGGGCAGGGGCTGAAAAGAGCAGTGGCTGCTCTAGAACCACACAACACTCTCGACCTCAGTTTCTCCACCTGTAAAACAGCGGGAAAACAACTATATTTGCAGATGGTGGGATGAGGGAAGGACATGACCATGTGCAGAGTGTCTGCCTGGCACACAGTCTGCACACAGTAGGTGCTTACCGACTGCTCGGGAAGCTCCGGGACAGCCCACTCAGTCTTTGCAGTCTGAAGTCCATCCAGATGTGGTGTGTGATGCAAGTCAGTGCCCACAATGTCAGAAGAGGGCAGCAGGTGGTGTCTAAAGGACCAGCTGGCCTGTGCAGAATCTCAGGGCCTCAGAGGGGCCCTGCCAAGGTGTATGCACACTAAGCACCTAAGAATTTTACCCAAGGAAATCAGTCTGGGGCAAGGACAGACAGAGACTCTCCAGAGCAGAAGAGGCAGTGAACTCAGCATGCTGCGTTTGAAAACAGGATGTGCCTGAACTGAGCTCACAAGGTATGGGGACTACCTGGGAGTCACCTGGAGGTTACCTATGGGTTACCTAAGAGTCTCTGAGGGTTACCTATGGGTTGTCTGGGAGTTACCTGGTAACTTTTGGAATTTCTGGGATGTGCATGGGAAGGCCAGAGATCAAACAGGAAAAGGAACAAGACTGAAGGGGTTGTGAGCACCTCTCAGCTGAGGAGCTCAAACTCAATCCAGAAGACCCACTGAAGACTTGGAAGGTCAAGGACACATCAGACAGTGAGGTGCTGGAGATATCAGATGGAGACAGAGTGGAAGGGATTTCCAGAGCAGAGCAAGCACACAATGGGAGGGCTGATCACAGACCTTCAACAAGTCAGAGGTCAGGATGTCCCTTGCAACAGAATGATGGTGTGTTTTCTTTCACACTAGATGAACACCTCTACCCACACACACAGGAGAAATGAGGTGGCTTACCAGCGCGACACCCAGAATCTGGGGGAAGGTGTATGAGGAGCAGCCGGCGGGAGTGAGGCGGATGGTGGCATAGGGGGTCTGAAACCAGGCCTTCTCACTGGCCCACACGATGTCGCAGAGGGGTAGGATGGAGGCGCCCAGGCCTAGGGCGGGCCCATTGATGGCCACCACAATGGGCTTCTTAAACTGGATAAAGGCCTTCACAAAGTCCCTGGGAGGAGAGAGAAGACCCTCTTTAATAGGTGACCACAGTTAGCCAAGGCCCATTGACACTCTTGAAAGTACTAAGGCTGAAATAGCTTCCCTCCAGGTCTGTGGAGCAACTGCAGGTGATCAGAGGGGAATGGATGCCCAGTAAGGGTCTCCTCTTCCAAGATACAGGCCACTGAGCTGTAGGCATGGGCTTGGCACGCTTGGTGGTCAGTGCCAGATTTTCAGAGGAATATCCCAGGCCATGCCCATCTGGCACTGCACCCAGTTACCATCTCCTTCTACTTGCAAAAGCTGTGGCACAGACAATTACATTATAGACATCCTAACGAGACAACCTGAATCAGAACTAGAAAAAGAATCAAAAGGCAGGTGTAACAAAAAGGCACATCTGAACTCAAGGATTCTGTATTCTGAGAGCATTGGTTAAAGGTGGGGCGTGGGGCTTCTGGAACTAAAGATTGTACACTACTGGAAGTATTATAACTTGGCTTGATAATCACTTTGGTGATGTTGAAGAAGAATTCAAGCTTCAGATGGTGGGCATGGGCTGGGATTGATGACATTTAAGACTTTTTTTTTTCAATCCTAGAATTGTCTGTTCTGAATTAACTGAAGGGATACCAGACCCAGCCAGGACCTGATGAGGACCAATGTGTTAAAGTGACTTTGGCCAAAATTGTGGAAGGGAAGAATGCTGAGCTCTCTCCTGGAGGCAGGAGGCATGACTATGAGATCTGACAGTGTTGTATCTCCTGCTTTTCTGCACTTAACAGGATTACCACTTATATCTTGACCTATTAAGCAGAGTCATCCACAACAATCTCTGTTCCCTTTGCCTGAAAAGGCTGTTTGCCTTTCCTCTATTTGCCACACAAGATCTATAAAATTTTAATATCCATCTGGACATGGAGGAAAGATCCAAGACATAGCGTAAAGCCTGAGTTCTTCATTGTTCTCAGATGGAAGATTCAAAGCTACCAAGATGTCATAAGAATAAAATTGAAATTTCTGACCATGACCTTGCTGTGCTTACTTCTCCAGGCTTATCTCATGTTTCTCTTGCTCCCTTTCACTGTGCAGAAGCCCCATAAGCCTCCTGAGAGGTCTTGGAAAACATAATTATTACAATTTGCAATTACTGGCCTGCGATTGTCTTGCTTACTTGTTTTTTTATTCTCCTCCCCTTCCACTCCTTAAGGAAACCCACAGTCTGCCTTGGGCCTCACTTGGTATCCTACATACTGGAATTGACACACAATTAATAGCTGTGGCTAGACCATGGAGTCTTCCAAAGCCAAGGCAAAGACTGCAGGGCTATGCAAGGATCACTAGGCACATTCCAGACCTGTTTTCCTTCCCCTCTTCTTCCTGGATCTACTGCTAGAACACATTTCCCAGCCTCCCTGTATCAGCTCTGGCCAAGTGACCAAGTGACCAAGCTGATGGAATGGGAGTGGAAACTATATGTAGCATTCCCAGGCCTGGTCAGTTCTACCTGGCTTCTTCATGTTGATGATTCAGACAATCTTGGAAGACATTTATTGAGCCACAAGATGGGAGAAGTATGGTTCCTGAATCACCTCTTGGAGGACAGGCATAGGCAGATCAAAAGCATCTGTTTTAAGTTCACACATGTGAAAAGCAGGTTTCTATGATAATTGAGTCATGATATATTTGGGGGGTTATTTATTACAGCAGCTAATACAACTAATACAAATGTTGAGCTGATTTCTCTTTTCTCCACTGGTAACCTTTCCCTTCAACTCTTAGCAAAATAAGTATCATGGGTGATATGTTGAGATTAAATTCAACTGTGAAAAGACTGCTACCAAGATGTCATAAGAATAAAATCGAAATTTGTCCAGGCTTATCTCATGATTCTCTTGCTACCCTTCACTATGCACAACCCAATGGGCCTCCTGAGAGGTAAAAGGCTATCTTATGACTTAGCTCACCATGAAAGTACTCCTGTGACTCCAGCTTTAAGGCACCACCTTCAAGTAATGACTCCCATATGACTGTGAGTAGATGACGGGGTTATCATGGTCACTGCTTACCCCGACCCTTTTGGGGAATCCTGTCAACACGGTGCTCTGATTCTTGCTTTTCCTAACCTCATGGCATTAGTTACTGGTTCTAAGAGCTTTTCACCAAATACAATTCAGAGTCTGAGGGGGTATGGGGATTTTTTTTTGCAGCATCCTTGGAGCCACAGGGTTGGGGTGACTTTTAACAGATGTTTTATTCCCAAACATCCTCATACAATTTCTGGATGTTAGATCTCAGAGTTGGGAAGGACTATCAAAGTCATTGTAACAAATCTTCCCCTCTGTTCAGAATTCGCTCTATAACATCTGCAAATGCATCACCTGGCCTGTCAAGCATTTTTAATAAAAAAAAAAAAAAAAAAAAGAAGGTCCACCTCTGTCAGGAGGACACCTCCTAGAGTGGACTGCTTATGAGCCTGTTCACCCTGCTCTACCAACTGTGGACACAGTCCTACAGGCATTGGCTTCAGCCATGACAACCGTCTGAAAACTTTCACTCTGAAATTTCCAACCTGAGTTCTGTGCTGGGGCCTCAGAGACCCTTAGGAGGGCTAAAGGGATAAGTAGCCCAATTCGACCCACCACTCCCAGCCCTTCTTGCTTCAGTCAGCCAGGCCTTCATTTCCTGGATATAACATGTGATGCAGAGACCTCCCTCCCCATCATTTTCTCTCACCTCAAGCAGTAGATCTCTATCACAGGGGCCCAGTGGATGTAGACTCCAGACAGCAAACAGGATATTGCATTTCAGACTCTGCTGCTCAGATATCTGATCTCAACTCCTCGGGTGGGGGGCTGTGCTGGGAAGGTGGTGTGCAGATCTTCCCAGAGTCAAAGGCCGCCACACTGACCTGGCCCTCGCTGCTCCCCCCATTCAACCCAAGCCTTGAATCTCCTGTCCACCAAGCTCCTGCCCACCACAGGTGTGGCACAGCAGCAGGCATTTCAGGGTGTGAGAGGCTGGGGTTAAGACTCAACTCTGCCCCTGCCTACTGCTGGGATCTTGGACAAAGTATCCAGGCTCTTGCACCCCCTTTTCCTCCTTGTAAAGTGGGGAGGCACACCAAGGGTGACTCTCTATAGGGCATTTAAGAATTAAATGGGCCTGTGCACCCAAGGCCCCAGCACACATAGGAAGCCTCTGACAAACTGTGCACTGCTTCTGTGGAAGGCAGACATGACTTCCAGTCAATTCTCGTGACTCAAAGTCACGTTCCTGGCTGACAAAAGGCTCCAAACCAAAATTCTGTTCCAGGGGTATTTAGATTTCAACTGGATCTACTGAATTTGTTGTGACCCAGTTACCCATTCTCTTTAACCAGAGTCATGGAGGGCAGTCGTCTCACTTCCAAAGCTCAGAGCCATGTCAGCTGGTTTGGGGCCTGTGAGTGCAGACACACATTGACGGTCATCCTGGGACCCCCAGGGGTGTTCCAGGAGCCCACTCCGCATCAGACCCAGGTTTTATTAGGAGTAATGGTAGGTAACAGCAAAAATGATGCTTCACATCTACTCTCAGTGCAGGTGTCGGGAACGGTCCAAGGAGTTCATGTGGGTTATCTGATTGCTCTTTGTCGTGGCAACCCACTGAAGAGGCCAGGCCATCACTTGATGGTTTGCATTTTCCAGATGAGCTAATAGGCTTCAACAGATGACAATATGCCTAAGGCTGCATGGCTGGTAGTCTTCTGGCATCTGCTAGTTCAATGTGCCACAGAAACTCAGTGCAAGGGCCCATATGTGCACACTCTTTCTTCAGGAAACAAGAGGGTGCCATGATCAAGAAGTATGCCTGGGCTCTGGAGGCCAGCCCAGCTCAGAGCATGCCCCAAGGGAATTGAGCGTGTCAGTGGGTTACAAAGTTCTGCAGCCAAAATATGTTTCAGTCATGGTAGATTCTGAACATAGTTCTTTCAAAAAGCCTCTCAAACCATGAATATGTTATTATGCTGGGAAAATTCTGCAGAAGTGGGGACAGAAGTTCAGTGTGACTACCCAAGTGTACACATCCACAGTGCCTTTCACTCACAGAGCTACAATGGAAATGTATAGAACATTCTCTGGGAGTGTCTTCTCTGCCACATCAGTTCCCTCTCCTTGAAGCATGGGCTCCAGGTCGAGGCAGGTGTAGTGGAGCCTCCTGATAGGAGCTGGTGATAAGGAGACATGTAGTCGCTATGAGGTGGCCTGCAGCCTCCCCGCAAATGTCTCATCCTCCTAGTCCCTGCATAACCTTCCCCTTAACCCTCTTCTAATAATTACCTTTTCTCTCTTGCATAAAAAATTTGGATCAGTAGCACAAGGGAGTAAGTCTCAACAGCCACCATGGATTAAGTTCAAACCTTGGCCAGGTAACTAACCCACATGATGCAGCAGACCTTTCCTGTCTTACCCACTGTTCCTTTCAGCAGTGTATTTCAGTAGATCTGTCTGTTCTGCTCCCTACTGTCTCTGATGAGACCTCTCACTCCTCATCCTGTACCTCTGGCCTACACCCCAGCTTTTGTATGCATAAACAAATCTTTAAAAAACAAACAAACAGTAATTTGGATCTTTCTGCTGCCCAAACATTTCCCACACAATCAGTGGTACAGAAACCATTTGGTTAGGGTGGGGCAGGAGTTCTCAACCCTGGCTGCACTTTAGAACCACTGGGAGAACATTCAAGGAGAACGGCCCAGCCTCAGGCTAACTAATTTGGTGTCTTCTAGGGTGCTGCCAAGCTTCTGAGTTTTGGAAAAGCTTCCTGGGACTCTTTGTGCTGTTGGGGCTGAGAACTCGTGATCCAGAGGAAATTCCCATTCCCTTTCCCTGTGTCCCTGCCCAGCTCAGGAAGGAGAACTTCTGATCCCTTCAAAGAAGCAGAAAGAATTCCCTCGTCATCTTGCCCTCTGCTCTACCTAAGAGTAGTTCATCTTCCTGATGAGATGTGAACATCTGTACTCATTCATCTGGAGGTGGGCTAATGCATCCAGCATATCCTCCAGTTTGGGGTTCCCTGTGCTATGCAGCTGGGAAAGTCAGAAGCCAATTCTGCTTCAGGTCCCAGCCTTATTCCCAATGCAACTTTCCTACAGCAAAGGGTATTTTTAATCCCAGTCTGCCTCATGCATCTCCTTCACCACCAGGCAGGCTCTCAGAGTGAGTACTTCTCAGGAGAGCAGACAGGACACTATACCATGACTCTGTTCTGACACAGGCAGAAGCATGTACTTTCCCAGATGGAGAACAAGGGTGATATAAAGGTAGCTAAAAGAACCTTAATGGAAATCAGACTCACTTACTTTTGGTAAATCTGTGAAGAATGGGGAAATAACTACCCTTCAGTGTCCCAAAAGAGACAGTGATATCTTGGTTCAGATGTTACCCCCAGAATCCCAACTTTTGCCCAGAGGCACCAAGAGATGGGGAAATATTCTCTATCAACCTAAGTCTGCAAATATACACTATACAGGGAACCCATCAACTTCCTCACCAGATTGAATCACATTAGCTCCAGGACACAGGAACATCCAGAAAAGCAGGGATTTTACCATCAAGCAAAAGATGAGATTATATGAATAAAACATGGACGATACCAGATACTGATATTAATATAAAGAAATAAAATCTCCTTTTGATCAAAAGAATAAAGTAGGACCGAGCCTAGGAAGCAAAGCCATCCCTAACCTTTGGCAAAAAATACAGGATGCCTAATTAAAATTCACATTTTACAAAACACATTTTTTAACAGAAGTACATCTCAAATATTGATGTGATATATTTATGCATAAAAATTCTTGGTTGTCTGAAATTCACACTAAATGAGCAGACTATAGAGCTATGTGAATGTGATGACCCCATGCAAGTCCCACAGTGACTGGACGGCAGACCTCACCTGATAGCTTCAGCAATCCGGGTGCTCTCCTTTCGCCGGTCGCTGGACAGGCGGCCAATTAGGTAGGAGTAATCCAGGCCACTGCAGAACACGCTGCCCACTGCACTGAGGAGCAGCAGCTTGCTGTCATCTGTGGCTGCATTGCAGAGCGCTCGCCGGACCTCCTTCATGATCTGCAGGGAGAGAAAGATAGGCAAGGGTGTTAAGTTTCTATCTAATAAGCTCAGGATTCTCAGACTTTCTCATTCCTGCTGAATGCCTTTCCCGTGAGTGTACAGGTTCATAAATATGCTCTATGCAGGGATCCTCTCCTGAATATAAGCCAAATCCAGACCAAGCAATGAAATACCAAATCTATTACTTCCCTGTATCATTTTTGAAGCAGGCAAAGAGGGCTAGTTAGGGGGTATTAGGGTCACTGGGTGCAGACTTGGAAGTATGGAATGGAGTTGTTTGACCCCTAGTAAATCTTTCCAAACCTTCCAGCATTTGCTAGATTAGCTTATTTTTAAAGGGTGGAGAAAACTCCTATGCACAGCCCAGGTGACCTTTGTAAGCTATCCCTAGAAGGCATGGTTTAATTATGCCCATGCTCATCCTAAGTTCAACTAAGAACCTTGAATGCTGGTTGGTGGCACGTGAAAGTGGGCTTTGACATCAGACCTATAAAATGTTCAAAGTGCCAAAGAAAATAACTATCAAATATAAGTTCTGTATCCAGCTAAACTATCACTCAAAAGTAAAGATAAAGATTGAACATATTTCAGTAAATGAATGGTTAATACTCTTAGGCCCTCACTGGAAAAACTAAAAAGGATGCATTTCAAAAAGAGGAAAAATGTATTCAAGAGAAAAAGTCACCTGCACAGAACAACAAAGTCAGCAAAGAAACTGGCAAAGAAACAAACATAAGAACTGACTATAAAAATCATGACACTGGTTGAAGGTGGTGTTTGCACAAGGCAGAACTATAGTCCGAGGCAATAATATTATATATAAGGCATGAGGTGGGAATGACTAGTTAGAGCATGTCAAGGAAGGAAATTATTACATGTAAGTGTTGCTATGTGTACATAACTGAAGGAGAACTTTTTAAAAATACAGGAATTACAAAGCATGGCGAGCAAAATGTAAAGGAAGCACAATCACTTAATCCAATAGAAGTCAGGGAAAGAGCAAAATAACTGCAGGAAGTTCATGGTAATAGAAAATAAAGGCCTGTATTTGCTTGGGGGGAGCAGGAGGGAGAACCAGGAGGCAGCACGTGAGTGGGTTTCTGAAGGATCATACTTAATTTTGCACTGAGCATAATTAAAGGGTACAGTGAGAAAACATTATGAGTATTGTTTTTTTAATTTATACTTTTAAAAGAACCTCCCCTCTATTAAGCACTTAGAGGTATCATGGATTGCATCAGCAATTTGCACATAACATTCACTCCAAACAAAAAGCTGGTAAAGAAAAGAAATGGTATTCTAACCTTGTAAGACTCAGATAAGTGAAGCAAGTTGTCTAAGAGGTCCATAAGACGGAGGACCACAATGCAAATCTGACCCCAAGATCCTTCCTCTCTCCACTACTCTCCACTACAGGAGGAAGTTAATAAATGGATGCACTTTCATGGAAAAAGTAGGACTAGATGTCACCCTGAACCAAGAATCTCCCAGCCTGTGCTTGTGCTCAGTGAGAAGGACAGGAGAAGCACTTTGCACTCGAGCAGTGTATAAGCCACAGATACTCATTTCTAACATCAGAAAAGCTTTAGGCCACGTCTTGTGGGCCCTTTAATCCATCTGCCTCCAGAAATAGACACACTCTCACCTATATATGAACTCTTTTTCTGAGAGGCAAATAAAAGTAAATCCTACTGTTGAGACACGAGCTGCAATTCTATACACGGCCCAGAGACTAGCCTCTGAGATCACACTTACTTGTCAATTAGTAAAAACAAAAGTCAACCCAAATAGCTACCTCCTTTATGAATTGCAACCAAGACACAAGCTATATTTTTACTTTTAAAGAAAATCATGTTATCTAGTTACTATACCAGGCCTTTGCCTTTTTCATTTTGATAGCCCAGTTTGGACTGATAGCTGGGATTCCACCTTCTTGAAGGACCCAAGATTTTTTAATGTCGCTATTTCGTTTAAAGAAAAATTTTCTAAAGTTATTACACACTCTATCTTCTTAATTGGGATGAATGACATGCCCACAATGACCTCCCAGGTTCTCTTGTTAGCCTGCCGCAGAGCAGCCCCCTCAGAGGTTCCTGGGGTTGCCTCTACTACAAATGGTTTCAGATCGCTATGTGCTTTGAAGTCCTAAATCTTTTCTTGAGATTTATTGCCTTGCCACTTGTTCCTGCTCTTGATGTCTTCTCAGGGAAAGACACCACAGCTACATCCAACTTTGGACCTTTCATGAGATTAAAACCAAATCCACTAAAACTAGGGGAGTGGGTTAGGGTCTCTGTCTCCTTTTCACCTTTACTCGCTGAGCCAAACAATCCACAAACACCTTCATGGAAGCTTTCCCCAATATCCCTGACTAAATGGAAACGCTTCCTTCTCCCACACCCCAAGTATGCTCAATCCCGGTATAATACCTCAGCCGAACGCTCTTGTAGAATCCAGCATCCTTTCCTCATCCTGCCAACGACCTGACTTAAAGTCCTGTGAGAGGCAACATCTCAGATGGCCCCCATGCTCTTCTCCTGTGGTCTGCAAGTCCCATGGACTCCCCTTGCATCTAGATTGAGCCTCTTGCTGCACTCCTCACCCTCTCAAGACCAGCTTGGGATACAGAGAGATGGCAGCAGGTCTTGGCATCCTGTTTTGGCTCCCTCTCATTCCTTGTACTGCTAGTCTGGGGGAAGCAAGCTGCCATCTCGTGAGCTGCCCCGTGGAGTGGCTACTCCGAAGTCCAAGTGGCGTTGCCACATGGGCAAGAAACAGAGATCTCTGGCCCAGGAGAAACTGAACCCTTCTAACAGTTACTTGGGCAAGTTTGGAAATGGATCCTGCTCTTCTGAGCCTTCAGATGCGGCTGCAGACCCCACTAATACTTTAACTCAGGTCCAGATGCCTGACCTACAGACACTGTAAAATAATAAATGTTTGTGGTGTGAAAGCATGTTGACTGCCACTTGCTCGGTAGCAACAGGTAACAAATTCAATCTCTTAAAGAGCTAAGATAGTATAATATCCTTTATGGCTAAAATCCATCCAAACACCTAGCCCAGAACCCTGCACCTGGTAGAGTATATGTCAGGTTTCTTGAATACTGAGCAAATGCTCCAGTCTTTAAAGGCTTTCCCAGGATAGCTGTAGTCTAACGGGTGAAATTGGACTACCACAAAGATACGTTCAGACACATGCCCTCAAATAACAGCTTTGTTCAATGTTTCACTTTAATGCTGATGAGAAAAAGAAGATCCTGGCCAATGGTGAACAAAATAATGCTACTTGAGAACCTCATGTCCTTATTTTTATTTCATTTAAAATCACAATTTCCAAGAATATACTGATGACATTATGTGAGAACTTACTGAGCACTGACAATGGTGGCCAGTGTTATAAAGGAAGGGTGCACAGTGTTAAGAAAACATAGGAGAGCTCTGCCCTGGTGGGGAAGAGGAGGGAGACTCCTGTGGAAGCGATGGCTGAGCGGAGATCTCCAGGAAGAAGGATCAGATAAGCAAGGAGGAGGGAAAGGCTGTCTTGGTCACAAGATAGGCATGGTATGTGCAAAGGGGCAGGTGTGAGATGACAGGCGTGTGGGAGAGGAGAAGCAGATGTGTACTAACAGACAAGGCTGCAGTGGTGGCCAGGACCAGAACGCACTAGCCTTGCAGTCACATAAAAGTTTATGGTTCCTCACCAGGCCCATCAGGAGCCATTGAGGTGTTTGAGACATTTGAAGTATGTGTGTGTGTGTGTGTGTGTGTGTGTGTGTGTGTGTGTGCGCGTGCGTGTAGGGGATGACACAGTGAGATTTGCATTTCCAGCAGACCTCTGTCAATTTTGTGGACAAGGTATTGCAGGGTAGGAACCATGAGAGTGGGCAGACTCGTTAAGAGGTTATTAAGATAGTCCAGGAAAAATAGGTCAGCAGTTTGACTGTAATGGTTATGATGAAAATAGGAAGAAGGAAACATATTACAGAGCTATTTAAAAATTTTAAAAAATTCAAGTGAATAGGCCTTGGGGAATGGTGTGGTTAAGGGGCCGGTCAGCAGGAGAATGAAGTGTGAGTCCCGCCTGTCCAGTGTGTTCCTGGGGGTGGTGGCGCAGCTGTCTGCTAAAGCAAGAAGCAATGCAGAAAACCAGGATTTGAGTGAGGGTTTGGGATATTTTCCTAGTAAGGGAGTAGATGAGCTTTTCATCACCAAGACTTCCAGCCATCTATTTTTCTGGCTTTTCTCATTATCCTGATTCTATGCTATATTCCAGACAGGAGAAATCTCTTTGCCTGCTAGATTCAGAATCTAGTTAACAAACCCTATAAAGTATTAATTTATGCCCATGAGGTCAATCCAGCCAAAATAAGGTAAACAATTAGAAAATAAAATCCATTTGTGATCATAAAGATGGCACCATGCAGTTCCTCCACCAATAAGCCAGAAATGACAAGGTTTCCCAAAGTCACACAGTGGGAAACTGGTGGAGGATACAAATTCAGATCTACTAGATTCCAAAATCTATATTCCTCCTCTAACTCTGCCTTCACATGTCACAGACTCTTTTGTAGGGGTTTCTCTACCCAGTTAATAGGTTTATCCGCACAGCCAATCCTCTTTGGTTGTTGAGACAGCTGCAAACACCAGGTCAATAGTCTTCCCCATTTTCCTCCTGGCCTGTTACCAACCAACACCAATTAGGAATATAAGCCCTCATCAACTGAGCCCCCACCTCGGGGTTGAGAACATGTGCTCTGTAGATCAGTCCATCGTGACCCATTCTCCATTATAAGGAGGCTGTAGCCAACACACGAAGCGACTCCAGGGAGAGAATGAACTGGGGGACTTCATGTTCATTCAATTTATCAGAAGAAAAGACTGTGCCTTCTTAAAGCATGCTTTTAAAAAGTAGTGAAGTGGGAAAAAATCCAACAAAAATTGATTCTTGTGCAGAGATTTCATAAGGAGCTTAAACTAACAAGATTTCCAGGTGTCTGAACACGTGACAAGTAGGCTTTGGGGTAAACCAAAGGCTAGGAATTCTCTGAATTCTACAGAAGTTTCCACAACAGAGAACCCCAAGGAGGTTCTACCAAAAGTCTGTTCCTTACAGACTGGCAATCATTCCTGACACTCACACCTACAACCCCCTAAAAGAACCATCACATTGAGGGAAATAAAAGAACCATTACATTGAGGAAATTATAGTGGTAAAAACATGTGATTGAAAGTTTTAGGGCACAGAACCTCCTCTGTACTCACTTTCTGGGGTTTCCCCAAATGTATCGAGTACACTGGGAAATGCCAAGCCATTCCAGCAGTTCTACTTTGTGTCAGGTCACTCCATGCCTGTGCTGCTTTCTGTCCAAACACACCCTGTGGTCAACCCTTCAAGTGCTCATGGCTACAGAGGAAATCTGAGTGCAGAAGATTGCAGGCACAGGCAAAAGGGGCTTGGGAGTGAGCCCTGTAATGGGCCCCTCACTGGGCTGATTGTGAGAAAATGGTGGGTGTAAGTGGCAGGATCTTGTCTACCTTAAGTTTACATTTGGTTAAGCTGTGGGACCCTATTAATTCTCTAAGTCTACATTTTCTCAGCTGCTATCAGCAGGTTCTGTCATTTTTTTGTCATTTACCACTATGCTGACCTGTCCCAGGTGAATTCAATTGGTGAGGGCTGCTCACGTGAGAGTTTCCCCATTTACACCATCAAGAATCTCTTCATTGTTCTGCACTACATACCCCATATTTTGAATGATGTTGCCTGCTTAACTGCATTAAGCATTTATTGTTTTCACTGTCCTATTCTCTGAAGACATAAGTATGCTTAGCACTAAAATGTAATGTGAAAAGCAGTCAGACTCCATTAAATTTTTTTTTCCATTAAAAATTTTAAGACTGTATACCAAAGGACACCATTGAAAGTCTAACAATACAACCCACAGAATGGGAGAAAATATTTTCAAATCATGTATTTCACACGTATCTAAGATTCAGAAAATACAATAATTAAAAGAAAAACAATTTTATGAATTTGCATAGGACTAGATATTTTTTCCCAAAGAAGATAGACAAATGACCAATAAGCACACGAAAAGCTGCTTTACTTACTAAGAAAACCACTGCTTATTCTGAAAACCCAATTCAAAGCCAGAATGGGGTGCCACCTCACACCCACTAAGATGACTAAAATAAAAAAGACAATAACAAGTGTTGACGAGGATACAAAGAAATTAGAACCATTCTACACTGGTAAAGCAAATGTAAAACAGTGCAGCTGCAATGGAAAGGAATTTGGCAAGGACTCAAAAAGTCAAACACAGATTTAGCATATGATATACCAGCAGGAATATGTCCAAGAAGACTAGAAACATATGTTCACAAGAAAATATGTACACAATTATCTGCAGCAATATCAGGAGTAGTCCAAAATGGAACCAATCCGAATGTCCCTCAAGTGAGTAACAAGGAGACACAATGTGGCATATCTACACAAGGAAGGAAGGCAGTACAGACACATGGTACCCATGGACTGGCATTGAAAACATGCCATAGCATGGATAAACCATGGGAATGCACCTAGCCAAGAAGAGTATACATTTGGTACAAGCCCGTTTAGAGAAATGTCCCAAACAGGCAAATCTACAGGAGCGGGAAGTAGATGAGCAGTAGTGTTGGACAAGGGGCAGGGGAGTAAGAATGGCTACTGATGGGTACAGGGTTTCCTTTTGGGGAGATGGAAATGTTCTGGGATTAGATAGTCGTGATGTCTGTACACCTTGCGACTCCACTACCAACCACTGACATATGCCTTTTTTTAAGGGCAGTATATCTCAATAAGCAAAAATGCAAGTGAGTTTTGTGAATATCAAGTCAGCCAAGCAAATAAATTTAATAGGTTGATTACAATAGTGGTTTGTTTTTGTTTTTGATTATATACATTCCAAATGTACAGGTTTTTAGGAAGAGAAAAAAAAGAGTGAGGCACCGACATAATCACAGGTGGGCAGGAGAGTTGCCGTCTGCAAAGGGAAAAGATTTGTGAAAAGAAACCCTTGAAGAAACACCTGCATAGTCACAGGTGGGCAGGAGGAAGCTATTACAGGTGTTTAGCTGGAAAAGACCAAGGCATGCAGTTTGGATGGGAATTCAGCTGACTGAATCTCTCCATTTACTGGGGTTTCACCTGCCAAATGGGACAACACTGTTACCTGGTCATAAAGAGATAATGGGTAACCTATGTAACCCTGTGAGCACACACGTAGTGCTGGCGATTTTCATTAGCTCCCTGATGGAGCAGATAGAAAGTCAGTGCACCCTGGTTCTGAAGGGAAGGCCATCTCCAGCCCAACCCCGCCCTCTGGTCCTGTTCCTCTCACCTCAGGGGTCAGCGCGTTGTTATCCGAGGTCTGACTGGAGAGCAGGATATGTGTGAACCCCTCTTCCTTCCGCACGACAATGTCCCGAAACCGACAGTTGCTCTCATTCTGGCGGACGCTGTACCTGAGCCTCTTGTCAAAGACATAGTCCTTGTCGGCCTCCAGCTTCCTCTTCACAGGGCTGTGCAGGTTTAATCCCCCGTTGGTCAGAGTGGAGCCTTCAGGAAACAGACAGTCAAAAACAGACGCTGGAAAAATTGAACACAAAGAGGATTGGAGAAGTTCCCATTTTCATTCTGAATGGGCTGTGGCTGGGACCCCCAAGAACCCTCTAATCCAGGTGCTGAAGAGCCCTGAGGTTAACTGCCACCTCCCCATTGGGAAGAGGGCAGAGCACACTCTCCCTGTGGGGCCCTGGGCAATCTGTGGCTCCCCTTCCTACACATTGCTTGGGAGCACCAGCTTCGGCTCAGACTCCCCCAGCAAAGGGAACCCCAGCTTTGGAAACTTGTGGCCATAAAACAAACATCAGCTCTACTCGTCATCAGCATAAACTGGGAGCAATCATATATCCTTTAATAAATGAATGGATAAACTGTGGTGCATTCACTCAATGAATATTATTCAGCAATAAAGGGAAATTAGTCACCAAGCCACAAAAAGACATGAACCTTAAATGCCAGGTGAAAGAAGGGAATCTAAATTGCCTCCACATGGCCTGGTTCCTATCGCATGACATTCTAGAAAAGGCAAAAGTACAGAAATCATAAAAAGATTAGTAGTCACCAGGGGCTCAGAGGGGGTTCAGGATAGGGGTTGAAAGGGTGAAGCCCAGGGGACTTTGTGGAGCAGTGAAACTATTCTGTATACTGCACCACAGGTGAGAACAGCACACCTAACATTTGTCAAAACCCAAAGAACTTTACAGCATAGTGAACCTTAACACATACAAACTAGTTACACACACACATACATGTGAGACATTGGAAGAAGGTGAGGGTGGAATGCAGAACGTGAGGAGAGAATCTCCTTGACCATGTGTGTATAAAACCACCTCACTGAAGGGGATGTGGGAAAGGTACTGAGCTCAGACACCCTAGGAACGAGCAGACTTGTATAATGAAAGGCAAAGTAACTGGTAGAGAACTCTGTACTCTAGCTGCTGAAGCTATTGCCCTGGAGTTGACAATTCTGATGCTGCTGGATGTGTAGGATGTCACTGAATAGTTAAGTGGCCGGACAGCAGAGGGTTCTCATGGCTGGAGTGGGAGCTTACAGGTGAGCAAGGAATGTAAAACAGTGCAGCTGCAATGGAAAGGAATTTGGCAAGGGCTCACTGCTGGAGTGGGAGCTTACAGGTGAGCAAGGAGAGGAGGCAGACATACTCCATGTGTAACAGCTAAGACATCAGCACATACTCGTGTGGCTCAGTCCAGACACAGAGGGTTTCTATAGGTTAATTTGTGCACATGGGCTGGTTCACTCATGTATTTCCTGGCTCACTCAGGTGAGAGGGCCCAGAACCAATGCCATCCCAGTAGCATTGAGCCCACCTGTAGCCCAGAGCTTGGTTTCTGAGACCCTTCTTAAGCAAAGGAAGCAGGGCTCCCTGGACAAATGGCTGATTCAAGAACCAGGAAGGAAGCACACAAGATAAGCTTGTAGTGGTTGCAGGGAAGGAAGTACTTAACCTTCACAATGACAGGGCAGGTCAGAGGGCACAGGAACCAAGGGTGGCTAGGGACAGACCAATTTAAGCAATAAAAATAAAGTAGAATTGCATTGCAGCTGCAAATATGACATAAATATCCCTCAGTCCATACGGACATATAAATAAGTGATTGAAGAAATAAATACATGAGAGAGAGAGAGACAAATCTCGTATGAATTCCAAATACCATAAAGAAATATCTGCCCACAAAGAGTGCTGCTTACAAACAGGAAGGGCCCCTCGTCTGGCAATCAAGACCCTCGGCCTCAGTGGTGAGTGATGGTGACACCCTGCACTCTTGATCTGAGGGAAGGTAGATGGCACCTTATCTCTGGAGTCGTCCCCTCAAAAACCCAAACCTAGTATAATCAGAAGAGAAGCAAAACATCAAGAAAATACCAATATAGGAAAATTCTACAGAATACCTAACCTGTGCACTTCAAAACTGTTAAGGTCATCCAAACCAAGAAAGTCTGAGCAAGCTCACTGTCCAGAGGATCCTAATGAGACATAGTGACTAAATGCAACCTGCAATCTGAGGAGAGATGTTGGGCAAAAACCAAGGAAACCCAGGAAAAGTGTAGAAAACACATCAGTAAAGGCCCAAGCCCACTGTACTAACACCGAGCGGAGCCAGGAGCTCAGTCGGGAGCATACTGGAACTCTCTTATCATCAGACTGATTTTCCTGAACACCATAAATACATACAGCAAATATGTGTCTAAAACATATATTTGAAGGAATATGTTTTAGAAGGAAATAGTTAAATAAAAACAAAAACAAAAACAAAACTAAAAACTTAAAACCACCCCAGGGACTGTGAGACACTGGCAGGCCTGAGGTCTTAGATCTTAATTGGAACGTGCATCTTGTTACCTGGAGTGCAGTCTGCGGGCCACCTCGGCTGCCATCAGAACTCCAGCCACTGCAGGGTCCGCATCATCCCACAGGACTTGTCCAGCACAGAGCCTGATTCCCACACACTGACAAAGCTCTGAAAATCTTACTTGAGTGTTGCCACTTCTGCAGGGGGACAGGCTGTGACAGCCCACCTGTCCCCCCTTGCCTGAGTGAATGAACACACTCCACATGCTGATCAGGTGACCAGGATCAAAGGGGGTAAGACGTGTGTGCAGGAGCCCGGGACCAGGAAGCAATAATAAATGTTGCTCCTGCTTGTTTTATGCCCTGACAAGCCAGATCTGCACAAAGGCAGCTCAGGGTCACTGCGCGCTGCCTCCTGTCTCCAGCAACAGCTTCGGGAGGGCGGGGCCCCTTTCAAGTAACAAGCCAGAGCACCTAGATCTACCCACAGAGAGGAACATAGGAAGTGCTCTTCCACCCCTAGGGCTCTGAGCCCACCCACGGTGGGCGTAGGTTCTTTCCTTTTTCTCTTAAAGATTATTTCTTTCTGCATACAGAGCCGGGGTACAGGCCAGAGGTGCAGGGCCAGTGAGAGGCTTCACTAGAGTCAGAGTGGGGAGCAGAACAGGTCGACTGATGAAGCACACTGCTGAGGGGAGCAGCGGGTGGGTCAGGAGAGGTCTGCCACGCCATGTGGTCACCCCCAGGGCGCTGGGATCGAACTCATGCTGAGGTGGCTTTAGCTTCTTAGTGCTGTGCTTTAACCCGCTACAGCCAGGAAGGATCCGGGCTTAGGTTCCTAAACAACATAAGAGGTCTGGGAATCTCAAGAACCCACCCAAAGACAAGATCATTAAATGCCCACTGGTGCCCACCTGTGTGCCAGGTCCTCGCCAGGTGAGCAGCCCAGCAGTGCAAAGGGGCACAGAAGCAGCCGTGCTGCATTGGCCAAGGGCTTCCTCAAAGCCTCTGCATCTTGTACTTTTCCATTACCAGAGCACTGGCCTTCTCCAAACACCAAGATGCGGGTACAATGATTCAGAGAACTCCGGGAAGTAAACGTGAATGTTTAATTAAAAGGCTTGTGTAAAGGGAGCTGTTACTTCAGGGTTAACCTCAAAACCTTTTGCTCCTCGGAAGTGCTTCCTAATTGGTATGGGCCACGTTTTCTGGCCCGGCACATCCGTGCTGCAGCCTGGCGGACAGAGGTTGGTGCACGTGGGCTTGGGGACATGAGCTCACGCCAGGCGGGGAGTCAGCAACTCAGACTTGGGTGCATCAATGCTTTAGGGACTGCAGGTTTGAAGAAAATCATCCTGGCCCCCCAACCGAGCCGGGGTGCTAATTAACAATTATCTTGAGGAGAAGGACATATGAGGGTCACCTGTTCTGAGCCACTCTGTATGTTGTCTCTAAATTTTTCAATAGCCCCAGGAAACTGCCTCAGTGAGTCCATTTTACAGGTTATAAAAAAGCGAACTGCTTGCTGGCACCATGAAGCCAGCTGTTGCTCGCTTTATTCATTTTTCCAAATACTATTGATCATCTCCTATGGTCAGCAGCATATCAGAGGATGGTGGTCTGACCTGCCCTCCCTAACTTGCTGCAGACAGCAAGCTGGACAGTAAGCTCACACCTAAAATGATCATAGATGGAAAACCCACATGAGAAAGAATAGTGGACTCAAAGCCTGTGGTCTTTTCTATTGGAACTCAGAGTGAGGTGACACCCCCCAAGGGGACCATCTGATCTAACAGCCATTAAACCATCTGAGGAAAAAGACCTGTTGCTTCTCTATCAGGACACGGAGTCTGAGAAAGCCACCCCAGAGTCTTTCGGCTCTCCTTCAAGCCCAGCTGCCCTGAGGCCTCTCGCTCTGGGACATGGGGCTTCCTGAGAAGCACCATGCAGCAGCCTAGCAGGAAAGCACCACGAGCACAGAGGGTGGAAGTTGTGGGGTTCAGAAGCCAATCCATGAAGAAATCCCAGGTCTACATTTGCCAACAGGGAGAAGCTAGGGAGCATTGTATGCACCTGAGAGTCTCCTTGCTTCTAGGAGAAAGTCATAGTTTCTGCTTTGCAAAACTGTTCTGTGTTCTTTGAATAAAAGAACTGACATGGGATTAACAAAGTGCCCAGCTCATACCTATGTGTTAGCTGAGGGATGTCACATTAGCCCAAAGCTAATGAACTAGAGGAATGAACTACTAGAGACTCCTCACAGTCAAGCCTCTCGTACCCTGGTTCAAACACACACCTCTGCCCAGACAGGGGTGTTCCAGGCCCAGGGAGGAGGATGGCTCTGCAGAGCCCAAATTCCGAGTGGAACCCAGCGACAGGTCAGCACTCAGAACCCACAGGGCTGAGGCTAGAGGGTTCATGACCCCGTGTGCCCCACTCCCACATGCTGGGGGGAGGACCCTTTTCTGCCTCGCAGGATCCCTGCCTCTAAGAGGAAATAACACATCGGCTGCATTGCTGGGGCAAGGAAACCCCCAACATGCTGGTTTCCTTCCTTCTCATTTGCCCTAAGCCTTCTCCCAAGCTGTCCTTCAGAATACAAAGGAGTATTTCCTGTTAAGGAGGTGCCATTAAAGCGTGCTCTGACCTAGCCCCTCTGCTCCAAGCACACAGAACTGATAG